CTGGATTCAGCTTCATACCGTACTCCCGCAGGGTGGCAAAAGTCTCTCTCAGGTCTCCGACGTGGTCGACTGCTCACCTACTCTTTACTAGCATGTCGTCGACGTACACCTCCATGTTTCGTCCAATCTGCCCCTTGAACATTTGGTCGACTAGGCGTTGATATGTAGCCCATGCGTTCTTCAAACCAAAGGGCATAACAACATAGCAGTACGTCCCCTTTGCCGTGACGAAGCTTACTCTTTAATGATTGTCCTCTGCTAATGGGATTTGGTGATACCCCTGAGAGGCGTCCATCATGTTCAAAAGTTCACACTCCGCCGTTGAATCGACCAACTGGTCGATCCTCGACAGCGGGTAGTGGTCCTTGGGGCAGGCTTTGTTTAGGTCGCGAAAGTCCATACGCATCCTCCACTGGTCGAGCTCCTTCTTTACCATGACCGCGTTGGACAGCCACTCCAGGAATTAGAATGGTTTAACGTGTCCAGCCCGCAACAATTTTTCTACCTCCTTCTCGATGACCAGGTCTAGTTCATGCCCGAAGTGTCTACGTTTTTGCTTCACGGGCCTCATTCTCTTGTCCACATTGAGGCGGTGGACTACCAAGCGGGGGTCTATACCAGTGAGCTCCTCGGGGCTGAAAGCAAAGATATCCACAAATTCCCTCAATGTTTGTACCAGCTCTCCCCGAATGTCATCTGGTAGGTCTTTTCCTACTCAGGGCTGAACAGCGAACTGAAGCTTTGAAAATCTTTGACAACACCTGGTGCCAACTGGTGGAACCAATCTTGGGCCGTACCCTTGAACGTGGTCAGAAAGGCTCTACAACAGACCGGATCATTGTACCTGTGCAACACTGCTATGTTCTCGAAGCTCCTGAGATGTCGAGTTGGGTCTGTAGAGCCATCATACGACAAGGTGAGTTCTTGAAACCCTTGAGGTAAATCCGCACCCAACACTTCGTCTGCGAACGGGTGACCTGCATGACAGGGGCCTCGACGCCCCTCAACCTTCTCTTGGAGTTCGCGCAACTGCTCCGCCATGCGCTCGATGATCGAATCCCTTGCATGCTGTTGTGGAGCTCCTGACGAGTGGACCGATTGCTCTGGCTCATGCTCACCCCCACCCACGGTTGGTCTTACAGGTCGATCTACCTCATCGCGCCCCAACACTTCAGGTCGAGTCTTCATTTCACGCGCCAGGGTAGAGGGTCGAGTCTCTAAGCCCTGTGCTTCCGGTCTCGTCATCATCGCCCTTCCCGGAGGTAAAATCGACGCAAGTCTAGCCTCTACCGCCGCTGCTATCATTCTTTCCAACGCCTTGGGCGTGAATTGTATGGGCTGTTCTGGGATGAAAAGCTGAGTATTCGCACCGGCTTCCTCCGCCGCCCCTCCTTGGAGTTGCAGTTTCTCTCCGCCTACCTCTTGGAGTGGTAAGCTCACACTTGGTCTTGGCGGCGTTTGCATTGTGCCCACTTATGTTGGGCTATTCGCCGCTGTCTCCGACTGCTCCGGCGGCTGCCTAGCAGTAGGGGCTGGGGTCGCCGGCGTGTCTCCACACAATACCCATCCCGGTGGCGTCCCAGCCCTTACAGGGCGCTTGTGCAACCAAGAGTTGTCTTCTTCATGTTGTTCATGCTCTCTTTCTCCCACCATCTTCTTCAATCCTTGCTCCTCTTCTTGCTTTCCGGTTGTGAAGTATGAGATACCACCAGATCAACATCGGTTGAGCTAGGGTCCCCATAGACGGCGCCAATTTGATATGGTCCGAGATTGGTGGCTTCGGTCTTGTGGAAGGTTCTTCCCCGTTACGACGTTGGTTCACTTGATTCGGTCTGGTCCGAGCTTGAGTGTTCTCCAGTACCTGAAAGCGCGTCGGAATTTCTCCGGTGCAAGCCCTCCGACGCCCAAGTTAGGATCTCGAATTTAGAGAGAATTATGTGTTATAAATGTTGTAGTAGAATATTAATGAATTCTTACCTTTTACTCTAGAATTTATCGTATATATAGTGTTTAGTTGTACGGAATACGCCGTAATCGGCATTACCAAGTTGGTGTTCGACCCCATCTCATAGGTCGACTTCTTGCTAGTCGACACCTCGGGGGTTGACCCTAATTTCATGGTTCAACCCTCTCGCGGGTCGACTTAGCCTTATACCATGCATTCTTACGTGTGTCGACCGTTAGGCTCAACAGGTCGAGGCCCTTAATGGGTTGGTGGGTCGAGACCTTTACATGAGTCGACGGGTCGAGACCCTTGCATGGGTCGACCGTATGCCTTGGCTCGAATACAGGGCCCGACTCGACCCCTGGCCCTTGTCCAGTCCCGGTTAGTAGGTCCTCGCTCATATCCATTGAGTTAGTCAAAGTGGGTCGACCTTCGAGCCATGTGCGAGCACTCTTTCGGTCGATGGCCGTTCGACCTCTCGGTTCTTTATGTCTAATATCTTTATCTCTATCAGAGACAAAAAATTTCTCTTAAAATCTCTTAAGGACACATTTCCTTCAAACTAAACATAGGTGTAAAATGATGATATTAGTCATGATCTTAGGTGTCAAATTCTCCAAAAGCCTGGTCATGCTATGAGATTATCCCACCATGTGATGAAATTGCATTTCGGCTCTAGAAAATAGTGGCCCCAAAGCTTCTTTCTTTTGCAAATTTACATCAAACTTAGTAGGCGCATCATTTTGAAGATTATGGAACATGTACATGTTAGAAAAATGAATTAAAAAGTGGCTAACAATTAATTACACTATGGCTAATGATATTGGGCCCGACACATTTGGGCCTTGGCAAAGATTTTGGGCCGGAATTGGCTAGGCTCGATACACATGGGCCAAACTTGCTGGGTTCAGATTATAGCTCGATTTCGACAATTTCTTGAGTTTTTCTCCACCTCAATTGATTCATTGACTTAAAATAATAGTCCCGAATTACTAATATCCATTTATAAAATAAACGGATCAGAATTAGTTTCTAAAATTTGACTCGGTTGCTGAATAAACTTAACCGAAGATATTTTTGACTTAAAATCGAACTTGAAACTTACTAACTGAATAACTGAATAACGTAGGCTGGA